CTGATAAAAAAGAATAGTTCATAATGTTCAAATTACAAAAACATCGTTAGCATTGAGCGAGTTTTCGTATTCAATCGGAATTTTAGAAAGAACAAATTTAATCGGTAACAATATAATAGAATGTACGATAAAACGTGCGGCATACATATGTTTAATAAATAACATTGTTAAGAGAAACTATAATAGAGAAAGGCTTAAATATAAGAACTGTATTTTTGAAATAATAATAAATATCAAATAAAAACACTGAGAATCCAGATGAGGAAAAATAAGACAATTGTACGTTTCACAAATACATTATTTATTACGACCAGGGTTTCGATACCTGATGATGTCTTTATTGTCTTGTTTTTATTCAACCCTGTAATAACATTTAGTTTTTCTTCTTTTTTCGAATGAAGATACTATGTTCGGTTTATCGGATTTCTTATTTCGTGATTCATCCAATTTTTGATCCTGCATGATTTTGTAGTATTATAATAGAATTGTACTAGCTTTTTGTAGTGGAAGAATATACTTCATAAGTATTCTTAATATATTAAACACAATGATAAAAGCTAGTTTGGTAATATGTTGCTAGAAAAAAAACATGATAGTGAACAACTTCTACCACAGTCACAGTCCTGATTTTTAATTTTTAATCAAAGCTTACTTTATTACTTTATATTTCATTTGAATTACAAAGTTGCAGAATGATAGGAAAAGAATGTTTTTATGAAACAAGATGAGGCAGTCTTAATTAACTCATTTTACACTTGACCATATTAACTTTCGTTTCGTTGACAAGATCGCTTTGTTAGGCTCAGTTTACATGAGACTTTATTGGTTTAAGTAGCTAATTATACTATGGTAAAAAAATGATCTTAAACACAATGAAATTACATGCAGTATTTTTCGAATCAAAACGAAGATAAGATTTACAGATACAAAACTATTATTATTCCATGTAAGAGTTAATTGTTTTATGTGTGCGATTAGCGACTCTAACCTGTTCTATAATACTGTTACGTCTCCGTTCGTTGGTTAATTTTCCGTAAATTCGTTCCGACGAAACTTTAGCGACACAAGTCTTTTCTTGAATAAAACTGGTTTATTCATTCTGAATATAACTTTGCGATACACTTAATTTCAACAGTCGCGCTATAACAAACGCTATAATTCTCAACAAACGTCTCACTTGCTCGACTTCAACAATACTCAGTTCAATTACACTGTTGTCCCGTCACGTTGTGAACGTCTTATATATACAAGACTAACACATGTCTAGTAAATGCTAGGACATTCATGAAGGAACAGGATATTTCTAGAAAACGTGGCGTGACACTAGTCACGTGACCTCGCTGACGCAACAAATGTTTTGTAGTTTCCTTATCATGATTGTACGACCTTTGATAGTTTTGTATATTTTACCCAGGATTCTTTGTATCATGACACACATCACTGTTAACATGTGTGTTGAAATGTACAGAATAACTGCATTGAAAACCAGGTGTTAAATCAGTTAGTCGGGTTTTTACTGGCATATAAGGTAGATGGCAAAACTCTTTGTCGTGAGTTTAGTGAATTCTCAACATAAATTCACTTGTACATTTTAGTGTGGCTCTCATAATAACGGTAGTACTTAAAACTAGCCATTAAACACAATATTCCTGTCAACGTCAAATTCTCACAAAAACCCGGCCCTAAATTAAAATCTTTACTAAACAAAAAGTATTTAGAATCACACAATACCAACGTCATTTACAAAATAACATGCAATAACTACCCAGAATTCTACATCGGAGAAACAGGAAGAAAATTGGTAACCAGATTGACAGAACACAATAAAAAAACCGTCCCATGTTTTTCACCATTGCAACTTAAAAAAACATAGTATATCTATTACAAACACAGTCATTTTAAACAAAGAACCCAACATAAACAAACAAAAAATCAAGGAATCCATCTTAATTGAACAAAACAACCCTACTCTAAACCAACACCCCGAGGTGCCAAGATACCTCTTCTAAGTTTTGCAACAGTATCTGGTCATGTGACCTCTTTGTTCGATAATGTATATATATCTGTGTCATTGTAAACTACTTATACCTGATGATGACAAAACCTTGTCAAAACATTGTACATTTGCTGTTATGTTAAACTTATATTCATTGTTCTTCATCACCCAATCAAGCTGTCTCCAAGCATTATTAGAGATGAAAAAGATATATTTTTATTCTTAACATGTATCACCTTGCACTCAGACATGCCAGAATTAGAATGATTCAATAAATTCCACAGGACCAGAACTGAGAAGTGATTCCAGAAATAAGCAATCACTGTGCCCCATGATGGTTGGCCTCTGCAGATGGCAGGGTGGACAGAGGATGAGAAACTCCCCAAAAAAACTTATGCATGAAGGAAGAGTACCAAATGGAGTTCCCCAAGATAAAATCAAGGGAGTCTAACTCCAGAAAATAAAACATCCTGATGAAGTAAATACCAGAAACAAAAAAAAAACAAATGAACTGGGCAACAGCTAAAAAAGAAAACAGAGTGGCATAAAGAAAATATTATCTTTTCTCACACTTTTAACATCAGCTTACCAGTGCTGGACTTCTTGTTTAGTTCAGGTGCTAAGTTCTTTATGACTAATGTTTTTTAAATCTTAGCAACTGCTCACTTTCAGCCTTTCTAATAATTTGAAATTGTTCAGTTTCTACATTTACATTCATGCATTCTTCTTTATGTCGGAAAATGTTTGAGAATTCTGCATACCTTTTTTATGTTCTTCAACTCGATCACTAAGCCTCCTCACCGCCGCCCCTATATACGCACTATTAAAAACAGAGCACTGATATCTGTAATGACATGTGATCGGTCTGCTTTGCAATTTCTGTTTTTGAATACAAAATAGTTCCTTTTTCTGTATACTGGTTTAAGTACTACATGTAGTTCAACTTGTGGGTACACATTACAAAAGAAGCTCTTTATATTTTTCTTGATTTTCAAAGCATGTGTTCCAGTAAATGGTAGTGTCATATACACAATCTTTTTTGGAACATTATCTTTCTCTTCCTTAAGGGTGGCCTCTTTGTTGATATAATCGTTGATAACTCGTGTTAAAACTTTTATTGGGAAGTCATTCAAACACAAGTAATTTTTGATGTTTTCCACTTCATTTTTAAAGAGTTCAACATTAATACATAGTTTATGAGCTCGATATATGAGAATTCTAATTAGATTCTCTTTAAAGTTATTAGGTATAAAACTATTATAGTTAAAGTACAACCCCAAAGATGTAGGTTCATGATAAATTCTGATTTCAAATTTATCATCTTTTTTCTTAACTAGTGTGTCTTACAGAACATTCTAATAAACAAAGATAATCCCTTGCATTTTATTCACGCCTTAACACACAAGTTCCTTTCACACAAATTTGAACCCCCAAAGAAACCATACACTGTTGACAAATATCCATTATGTCTGATCGTTCCTTTTTTTGGGTAAGCAAAGTTTCATAGTGAAGTCACAAATTTTAGGAATAATTAAAACATTTTATCCACAAGTTCACCTACAAATAATATTTAAAACATCTTTCAAAATACAAAATCTATTCAGATCTAAAGACCTACTCCTATGCATTCCAGGAATGTGTAAAACACACATGTAGTGGCTGTAATGTCAATTACATTGGCAAAACTATAAGCCATTTACACCTGTGAGCCTGCAAACATATGGGAGTATCAAACAGAAGTGGTAAAAAACTATCAAATTCACCAGACTCCACAATTTGCATACATAGTGAAAACAACAACAACCCCATCTTGATTACAAATTTCAAAGTCATCTCATCTGGATTATCCAATATTTAACTTTTAATTATAGAAAGTTTGTCCATTATAAATGAACAGCCAACTTTAAATAATAACACAAATTCACCACAATTAAGTCTGTTCTGAATAACTTGTACAACATTGTTGCATTATCCTATTCTTTCTTGTTTATTTGTTTGTCTTTTAAATTACTTCATCCTTATTTTTCTGTATTTTAATTACTCTTTATAAAATGTTTGAACTATACAAGTTTTTGCACCTAATATTTTATCCTGTTCAATATAGCTTGCTGAAGATAAAATATGTATATTCCAAAATATTCAAGAATGAAATGCTTGTTACTGTACACACACACAGGTAAATTTTTTCATTGATGTTGCCATTGTTTTATTGTTCATCATTAATACTTCATAGTTTAGAAAATGATGTCTGTTGTGGTTTATTACTTGTTTTCTTGCATAATTGGAATACCTGTAAACAAACATTACGCATACCCTAAATTCAACATCACTGTTATCATTAAAATATGTTGGCCAAGATACTTAATCATTTTTCCAAATTAAAATGATTAATGTAAAGTTTCTTTATATTACACAGGAAGTACTAACAAGTTTACATCAACAGAACTTTTTATGCAGTGATCAGAGAGAGGACATAGCTCTTGTACATTTATTTTTTACAAGTTTCTAAGCTGATAAATAATTTAGTATTACAAACATTTTATGATTTTCAAAAATATGTTTATATGCACTAATTTTCTCTTACTTCATATATAAAATTTCCAGAAATGTACCTCTACTGTGAGTGTCTGTCCAAGTGTGGATAATTCTTGAGCTGGTTTCAGGAACAAAAGGTAAACTGCGGTGTAATGTACTGTTGTTGGGTTTGTTAGTATCAATTTTGTTCATGAGTTGAGTTTTGTTGTGGGGAATGTTGGATAGTTTTTCAACAATAGCTGGTGGGAATTTATTGATGTGAATAAAGTAATGCTTTATGTGGTTAATTTCTTCACTTATGTAGTCCGTTGAACAGAGTCTTGTGGCTGTGTTTATGAGGTTTTAGTGTATTGATTTTTTGTGTGGTGTCATGAGCGGACCAGTGTGTGTGTTCTTGCGGTGAATTTTGGTTTTAAACTGTGTGTCCGATCTAATAATTTTGAGATTATGAAAGGATAACATCATCCCAACATCAAATTTAACATAGAACACGAAAACAATAAACAGTTATCCTTTAAAAGTATATCTACTAAAAACATTTTAAACAAAGAACCCAACATAAACAAACGAAAAATCAAGGAATCTATCTTAATTGAACAAAACAACCCTACTCTAAACCAACACTCCGGGGTGCCTAGATACCTCTTCTAAGTTTTGAAACAGTATCTGGTCATGTGACTTCTTTGTTCAATACTGTATATATATATATATATATATATATATATATATGTGTGTGTGTGTGTGTGTGTGT